GTATAGAAAAGACACAATTGAAAACCAATTTGTTAACTGGAAGAACAAGCCAATGCATGGTCAGTACTTGAAGGATATAGAAGGAAAAGCTGATAAAAATCTCACACGGAGCTGGTTAAAATCAGGAGTGTTAAAGAAAGAAATTGAAGTCTTTATTTTAGCAGTTCAAGAGCACGTTTTGCCAATTAATTGCCTGAAAGCAAAAATTCATCATGTAACAAATAGCAGTAAATGTCACCTTTGTAGTAAAAGGATGAAATAACTGACCATTTCATCAGTGGCTGCAGAAAAATTTCACAAACTGACTATAAGCAGCATCATGACCAAGTTGCCAAAATTATTGGAAACTTTTCCAGAGGCTTGGATTTGAATGTAGCAAGAACCACTGGGAAGTTGAGAAGGTTTTGGAAAATGAGGGGTTAATGGGATTTATGGGACTTTAGAATCCAAACAGGCAACTTATTCATAACATGCCTGATATAGCAGTCATTGAAAAGAAGAAAGTCTGGGTCATTGATATTGCTCTACCAGGTGCTGCTAGGATTGAGGAAAAGCAATCTGAAAACATTTACAAAGTACCAGGACTTGCAGATCGAAGTTGAATGCTTGTGGAAAAAGAAATCACTGTTATACCAATCATGACTGGAGCCCTTGGAGCAATACCTAAAGGACTCCCTCGATATCTGGAAATGTTGAATTTATCAGACACAAACAACCTAATTTTACCAAAAAATTAAAAAAAAAAATACTCTGCTTGGAACTGCCTATATCCTCAGACACTACCTTAATAATTCTTAGGGCCTTGACTAGGACTTGACTTACTAAGTTTTCACCAGTCTTTGACTGTGAATCTAATTGTAGATTACCTTTAACAACAAAAACAACAACAATGCAATGTAATACAATGCAACAAATCCACATTTGAATTGCAACAGTGGATTGCTGTTCTATGCTATTTGCTCAATAGTTCTCTTTCTTACCTGTCTGTCAAAAGGGCTCCAACTTCTCTTGCATCCTTTTGCCCATAATATACGTTTTCAGGCATGTTTCTTTTTCTTGTATATTATTTATGGTATTTATACCATGCATTGTCAATGAAGACTCTATGCTTTGTTAATATTTGTGTAACACTGAATTCTGATTATGTATCTTTTTGGGGTTGCTGTTATTATTTTGGTTTTATTAATACTAAAAGGATTCTTTTATTCCTACTACTATACTACTGATAACTCTATAAAAAGTACTTTTAAGAATTCAGCTATATAATACAGGAAATATAAATATTATTTTTGACATGATAGAATTTCTAAACACACTTTTAGAAGTGTGTTTTTCTTTTAGCTGTCTCTTTTGTCATTTTTTTTCTAAATACATGGAGGGGGGGCGGACAGTGAGTTTGCTCAGATTGAAATGACTTGCTTAGCTTTGTCTGCTGGTGGAAATGCTACCTCCAGTATTCACCTTGCTCTCTTTTCCTGAATTTTCTATTTCTAAATTAGCCTATTTAATTTAAAACATTTTTAGAACAATGGTTAGCGCTAAAGAGATATTGTGTAGAATGAAAATTTTCTATTGGGGCAACAGAATAAGTATATTTTGCTCTTTTGTTGTCATTTGCTAAAAAATGGAAACAAGATAATTCTACCAAATTGTCTCCTTTATCTGCATCCTTTGGTGTTACACTTCAGAATTATAACGCCTATTCTAAGTACTTGCAAGGGCCATATTCTAAAAACTTTCGCTTTTGGAAAAAATATTATTTATATATTTATTAAATTTATATGCTGCCCATCTCCCCCAGAGGGTGACTCTGACCGGCTCACAATTAGAGTAAAACCCCCAAACAGTTAAAAATATAAATATCCCCATTAATTTAGTTAAAAAGTCAAACAATATATTCTGATATGCAGAATAATCTGGTAGCTAGGAATGCAGGAAAAATCTTCTCCTTAATCCCAATTTAAGACAACAAAAGCAAATAGCTGAAGAGTGCTTTGTAATTTTATTGAACTGTGACCTCAGGGTGTTCTCAATAGGAGAAGACAAAGGTTTTCAAGGAAGTAAGCAATTTAACATATCTCCTGCCTGCCTTATTAGGAAAACAACAACAACGACAACGACAACAACGATTCATTTAGTGTCAGAAATACTTTACCCTTGATCATAATAGTTATCTTTACCTTGCTTCTTTCTCCGGGAATTGTACAAGACATCGGTTTGAACAAAGACAGCTTGTTTCTTTAATTCTGTACAGACACTACTCCTTACTAGTTATCCCCTTCCCTGCCAGTACTTTGTTTTATGCATTTTGTCCACCACTGTAATGGCTTCTAGCTTATTCTTCTGTACATCCTTTGGTTTATCCATCCATAGTTACAACACCTATTCTAAGTCTGCATTTTACTGAAGGCTATATTCTGAAAACCACTGCTTTTGACCAGAGCAAGCCCAACCCAACCCACTATGCAGGATTTCCATGTGACATGATGTATCTCTGTTATTTGCAGTGTACTGACTAAAAATTACCAGCAAACTCTGGCCTTGATATTTGCTGTAAACGAGATAAATGAAAACCAACAGATTTTACCTAATTTCACATTAGGCTTCAACATTTATGATAGTTATTATGAAGCGAAATGGACCTACCACAGTGCAATGGAACTTCTCTCCACACAGAAAAGATTTACTCCCAACTACAGGTGTGACATCCAGAATAATCTGGTAGCTATCATTGAAGGGATTGATATTGATATCTCACTTCCTATAGCAACAATGTTGAGTATCTACAAGGTTCCACAGGTGGGTTGGATGTTTGTCATGATTTCTTTTATCTTTCTAGATTGAATGATTTGGAGTCAAAAAAGTGTGTACTTGAGATAAATAGGCAGCTTAATTGGTTTCCTAAATAATATTTTAAAAAAGAATTATATTAGTTCATTCCCCAGATCTTAGAGGAGATTCATTCTTAGCTGCAGGAATATGTTCCTAGGAGTCAGAAGCTCTAGGTTCTGATCAACTGGGCTCTTGTTTATAATATTTCTATTTCTCGGCCATTGCTCAAAAATAAAGTGCTTTTGTTTCTACCTTTTATTGTGTGTCTTCAGGAGAAATCACATAACGCTGTAGTCCTTTCTTCAACTATTCTAGTAATGCACAAATGGAGTGAGATTAAGTTATTCACACACTTCTCTTCAGCAAAGCTTAAAAAGGAGATTTATTTTCAGGTCAAATTCTCAGTTTCCCAATGTCTAAGATGTATATCCCACATATCTCAATATAAAAGGAACATTTTATTTGTAACATTTGGGGGGGGGAGGGGGACTGGAGAAATGCTGTTTTGAAAAATATACTGTTAAATATAGCTTATTCTTTTATTTCTTTGCAAAATATCACAACATGGCTGTTGTCTCTGACAATTCTCCTTCTGATTGTTTTAACTGACCCCCTTTTCAATTAACTTCTTTTTCCTCTCCTTCATTTGAGTTCTTTAATGAGGGCTAGGTATAACAGACTGTTTCTCAGAAGGAAGTTACCTCCTTCCTGGCTAACCAAACTATGGCTATACAAGTTTTGTCACAAATGCTAGAGAATTGCTTCAGTTTTATGAATATGCTGTAACTTTTTAGTGCAATGCAGCAATGCAATCATGAAAGCTGCATTATGAATAACAAGGCTACTGAGATCTGAATGCAATTATTTGTCAGTATACATTTTTCCTTGATATCAGAGTATAAAATTATCTCAGCAGTTGATCAACAATTAAACAAAAGTTCTACCTGAATGAATACCTTTCTCTTCAAGTGCATTCATGTTATTCAGAAAGAATAATACACTATCCTAATGTGTTAGTCCATAATAAATGCAACCATGTAAGAAGCTAGTACTATGTAAGGTCTAGACAGAGCCAACCAAAGATTTAAAAACCGAAGCAAAAACTTTCATGATCTGAGCGCAGCCACCAAGAAGTTTCCTCATCCCAACTAATTACTTTCACCAGAAGAAAAAGGCCTGTCCACTAGATCAGTGTTTTTCAACCTCAGCAACTTTCAGATGTATGGACTTAGACTCCCAGAATTCCCCAGCATCCTCATTCTAGATAATATTCATTATTTCCATTAAGTTCCTAATATTCAAACATTACTTTTCTTCTTATTTTCTGGTTGAATACAAGTTCAAAGAAATTAGAGAGGAATACTAGCATGTACCAGTGTTCACACCTTCATTAAAATCAGATGAATGATTGAAGAGAGCTAGTATGAGAGGTAAATTTAATCTGTTGCTGTTGATGGACGATCTTAATCAAATCCTAAAATGGACACACTGTAAATTAGCAAATATATATTCTAAACCCACGTTTCTCTTTTTTTCTTCCTTCCCCCTCCTCATCCTCAATATATTCTATTGTTGTATAGTTCACATATGGCTCTACTGCAGTGAGGAATAATCAAAGAGAATCACTCCCTTTCTTTCGGATGGTTCCAAATGAAATTTTGCAGTATAAGGGTATTGTCCAGTTACTTCTGCATTTCAAATGGATGTGGGTTGGAATCCTGGCAATAAATGATGACAATGGAGATAGGTTTGTGCAGAGAATACTTGCAGGATTTCCCGTGAATGGTATCTGCTTTGCTTTCATAGAGAGAATCAATATTCCTTTCCTTGATGATTATATTACTTCAGTTGGTGAAATGATTGGAATTGTTGATAAAATTAAGAAGAGCAAAACCAATGTGCTAGTTCTCTATGGAGAAACTCGATCAATGATATATTGGAGATGGATGTTTCAACTATTTGACATAAAAGGTGTGGTGTGGATTATGTCAGCTCAGACTGATCTCTTTTCCTTTTCTTATCAAAGGGATTGGGACATCCAAGTCATCAATGGAGCACTATCTTTCACTGTTAAGTCATGCAAGTTTCCAGGGTTCCAACATTTTTGGCAAAGCAGAAAACCGTCCAACTCAAAAGGAGACAATTTTCTCCTGGCATTTTGGGAACAAGCATTTAGCTGTAAATTTTCAAATCCCCATACAACTGGGGGCATTTGCACAGGAGAAGAGAAGCTTGAGGACCTTCCTGGGACAGTTTCTGAAATGTTCATGATGGGACATAGTTACAGCATCTACAATGCTGGTTATGCTATGGCTCATGTACTCCATGGGCTGCAGAAATCCAAATCCAGATATGGTTCAATGGCAATTGAACAAAGATGGAAGCTTCAAGATCAACCATGGCAGGTGACTGCCTGATAAATGAGGTTGGGTGAATGCAAGAGTAGAATTCAATCAGTGCAAAAGCCACATGAGGTCTCTATTTCAGATTGCAATCTGGTACACATTTACCTGGTACCTTTGGAACCATTAGAAAATGTTTACAAATAGGTATAGCACTTTTTCTACTGAAGAGAACACCATGTAATAGTATTGCCAGGTTTAATTTCAGCGCCTATGACAGACTTTCAAATAATGTCATCTCTATATTTCAGGATCCTGAAAAGGACATATTTTATAAAATAGTTCTTGGTTATCAGTCCATAAACAATAAGACAAAAAACATTGATCTTAGTGACTAAAGCAGAGTACATTAATTGTGCTCCACATTGGAGACTGGGCTTGATAGTCAAAAAGGGCTCTTCTATTCTACGATTCAATAAATAACATAGCAGATTTCCCTTTTCCTTTAAGTTTCATCATTTGCTCAGAAGTTTCTCATTCAACAACAGTGCTGGAGACAAAATTTCATTTGATCACAATGGAGAATTAATAGTTGGATTTGACATTATCAATTGGATCACATTTTCAAATCAATCATTTCTTAAAGTGAAGGTTGGAAAAATGAATCCCAGGTCTACATCAGAACAAGAGTTCAGCATTAATTGCCATGCAATCACTTGGCATGACACTTTCAACCAGGTAGGTCATGATAATATCCAATTTTAACACTGAGAAGAGGTGCAGAAATTACTGCTTTTTATACTGTAACTATAGCAGTTAAAAGTCCGGTAACGTGACACATTCCAGAGGAATTGCAACTTCTATAATTTTGTCTTATATTTTTAACGTGAAACATTTTCTAGCTGTACATTTTTTAAAAAAGAATCATTTGGACAGGTTGCAAAGCATTTGACATATAAAAGAGAATAAGAACTAGAAAATATATAACACCATAAAATATCTAAAAGTAATACTCTAATATTATATGGGCATTTAAAATTTCACAACTTAACTATCAAATTTTAAAATGCCTTAAAAAAAATAATGCAGTCATTTGGTTTTAGAAAAATAGCAATTTTAACTTAGCATAGTCTCTTGTCCTTAGCCGCATGGGAATAGTGGGATTCAAAAAGTCCAGAATATCTGGAGGAGAGGAACCAGATTGTTTATTTCTGCTCTGGTAATCATCTAATAGTAGGTTAACTTCAAAATAAGTGAAATAATTTTCCCCAAATTGGATCAACTCCTGTTCAAGCCATAAACAATTCTGTTATTCAGTTTGATGCTCTGTGGCATCACACAGTTTGGATGGCTAGTTCTGGAATAAAAAGAGCAAACAAAACAAAGCAGAAAGTATACAGTTAGGGTGAAGAAACAAAATTGCTGTACTATTTGGGTGAACATGATTAGCACAGAGTAATATAACTTGGCTATTCCCCATTTTTTCTCTACCACTCTTTTGGTTTCCTCAACCAAAAACCATCCCTTTGACTGAATATATTTCATAATCTTGTACTAAATACTTATTGTAATTTATATGATGTTACAGATAGAAATCTGTCCTGAAGCAACTCCCTCTTCCAAAATTCATCCCTTAAAGGTTAATAGTCTAGAACTGGAGAAAGAAGTAGGAATTCCATCTACCCACGGAGAAAGGGAACCTGAAGGATGAGTTTTGGAGATGAAGAGTAGTTTCAGGGACAAGGCTGGATTAGAAGACCCAATGGGCTAGTTTAGGTCATACATTTCCCATCCTTATGTGCTGTAGTGGTTAACCTGTTAGACTAGGATCTGGGATATCCATGTTCAAGTCCACCCCTTGAAATTTAATAGGTGATTTAGGGCCAGTGATGATATCTCACACCAACATACCTTAGAGGGTTGCTGCAGGAAAAATAGAGATGGGAGTATAACAATCACCACTTTGAACCCTTGGAGGAAAGGCAGATATAAATGTACCAAGTAAATATAGGATTCAGGGATCACCGTTCTATATAAATTATTTCATATGATTATTAGTAGATGAGCTGCAAAAGCACCTCTTCCCAAGCCAACACTGGAGAATATTCAATATTCTTGTATTTCATTTCTATAGACATTGCCCCTCTCAGTTTGCAATAACAATTGTCAAATGGGTTATAGCAGAAAGAGTATTGAAGGAAAGCCATTTTGCTGCTATGATTGCAATCGATGTCCTGAAGGGAAGATTTCCAACAGGAAAGGTATGGCACTTATATTCTTATGCTGAATGAAGATAAAATCATGTTTATAGTGGACTAGAAGTTAAAAATAATTGCTTCACAGAACCTACTTAAATTAAATTTAAGATTTTTTTTTTTTCATCCCAGAAGAACCACAGCAGTATAAAACTCAGCCAGAAGTGATGTCTGGTGGCCACATTGTTATTCTAGGAAATGCTGTGAGCGAAGTATAATTTCTAAAGGGGTAGCCTATCTTTCCAAATGTTTAGATACTGTAAAAACATTGTTACACAGCAGAATAGCTATTTAACAAAAGTTAGTGTCAGAGAGAGACGTAAGGCTTTGCTAGTAAGTTGGTAGGTCCAGAGGTCAAATGACAGATTTATCTGAAGCCAACTTCAGGTTACAAATAAGAAAGAGAAGATAGCAAAGATCCAAATGCAGTCAACAAATAATAATTATTGTCAGGCAGACAAGCTTTAAGATGCAAGGATAACCAGTCACATAGGCTCATGCAAAGTGGATATTACTTCCAGCAGTGGGCTACTCTCACTCACTAGGCAAAATATCTCAGGCTAGTGTAAGGATACCAGACCTGGGTTGAAAAAATCTGGATGATCATTAGATAGCAGCATCAAGATTTAGAGAACTCTCATTCTAACTGTAGGGGTCATCTGAATTTTGATTTTGATCTAGGTACATACAAGGAAGGAAGGAAGGAAGGAAGGAAGGAAGGAAGGAAGGAAGGAAGGAAGGAAGGAAGGAAGGAAGTTAGTTTTCTTTGAAGAGCCATCCTCATATGAGAACATGAAAAAAGCCTCCATATGTTCTGAGAATATGTTGTATTTTAAATGTTAAAAACAGAAAATGGAAGAATTCCAGGCTGCTTCATATAGCAACTTAAATAAATCCAAGCCATCCTGCTCCACAGTCCATTACACCAGAGCTTTTTATAGCTTTTTAAAAATCTATAAAATGATTCACCTTAATGGGTATCAACCTCCCAAAGCAAGAAATTAGACTTCGTGGACATTGCTTGATCTTTACTCCCCAGAGGGGAGGAAAGGGAAAGTAAGTTTGAAGATAAATGGTTTACTAAGTAGGTTTGAAATATTGTATTCTTTAATTTACACAGTATGAATAATCCCAGATGGTGGTGCCATATAAACTAATTATATTCTATCTTTTTCAGACATGGATTATTGTTTTAAGTGCCAAGAAGACAAATATGCAAACAAAGAGCAGTATTTATGTCTTCCCAAAGTCAGTACTTTTCTATCTTATGAAGACCCTTTGGGAATGAGTTTAGTTTTGTCTGTTACTGTTTTTGCTGTCATCACAGCTCTGGTGCTTGGAATTTTTATGAAGTATCACAATACACCTATTGTCAAAGCCAACAACCGAGATCTCACCTATACTCTCCTCATCTCCATCCTTCTTTGCTTTCTTTGTGCTTTGCTGTTTATTGGCCAACCCACAAAAGTAACATGTCCCCTACGACAAATGGGTTTTGGAATCATATTCTCAGTGGCAGTTTCTTGCATGTTAGCAAAAACCATCACAGTGGTTCTAGCTTTCATGACCACCAAGCCAGGAAGCAACCTGAGGAAATGGATGGGGAAAAGACTGGGAAGTTCCATTGTTCTTTCCTGCTCCTTGATTCAAACAGGCATTTGTACCTTATGGACTGTAATCTCTCCCCCCTTCCCAGATGTTGACATGCAGTCAATGGCTGAATATATGATACTGGAGTGCAATGAAGGCTCCTTGATTATGTTCTATTGTGTCCTAGGCTATATGGGTTTCCTAGCCATTGTAAGTTTCACTGTGGCTTTCTTTGCCAGAAACTTACCAGATACTTTCAATGAAGCCAAATTTATCACTTTTAGCATGTTGGTTTTTTGTAGTGTATGGTTATCCTTTATTCCAGCTTACCTAAGTTCCAAGGGGAAATACATAGTGGCTGTGGAGGTCTTCTCAATCTTAGCCTCTAGTGTTGGATTGTTGGGTTGTATCTTTTTCCCCAAATGCTTCATAATTTTACTGAGACCTCAATTAAATAACAAAGAACAGCTAGTAAGAAGAATAACATAATTTGAATGTGTCTGTACCTTTTATAACTGTGATTTGTGTTAGGGTTATATGGATTGATTCTGATCCAGTTTCAATTGTTAATTCAATCTCAGTTGATAATTATTTGTTAAATTTATTTGACACTTCTGTTTGAATTCCTTAACTGGGGCAAGTCAATTATTATTATTTTTTAGTCTGAGGAACCCTATTCAAAGAGCTGATTTTCCAGTTCAGTTCAGAAAGTCAGTTTGATTAAAATAATTTTGAATTAAATCTAAGAAGTAAGATTTGCACATACCATGTGTGGTGTGCAATAGAATTATTTTTAACACATTATTTTGCAACAGATATCCTATGGACCTCGTATTGCCTCAATGCATGTGTCTGTGTGTGTGTGCATGTGTATGTATGTGTGTTATCTGAAAAAATATTTTTCTGCAAATACTGTTGCTTTTTTTTTTTTCTAAAAGAGAAGAAAATTTTGTCAGCATTCTCATAGGAGGGATATGGGCCTTTTAATTTCAGTTATAAGGCAGTTGAGAGACGTGTGCACATTTTCTCTTTCATTACACAACCTTTCCATACTTCAGTTAAATCCCATGAAAGAATTCCTCCCACAGGGTTTTCTCAGTGATGATAGTCAGGAAGGAGGCAGAAAGAAAGATAAATATGTCACTAAAACCAACCAACCAACCAAATACCACCAATCTCACATAATTAATGGGATTACATCTATTATTATTATAAAATTATTATTACAAAGATATACCAAACACACAATTTTAAAATAAATAACCCCTCCCCCCCATCAGCCTCATGGGGTAAATCAGATAGGAATCACAACCAGATGAGCTAATTCTACTTTATTGACAGAACATTGCAAGCCTAAAAGTATAATTCTTCCCAATCTCCTTTACAGCCTGAGAAACTAGGGAGGATCTCTTCCCTTGCCCCACCCACTATCCAGGTGCAGGTTATCCTGTCTCTTATCTGACCATTCCATTGGCAGCATCTCAGCGTCTCCAAAGTTCTTTCCCACATATCATTACACGCCCACAAAACATAACACAGATGTTTGTTAAAAGCCTCTTTGTGCCTGAGCTAAAAACATCTTTAGTAGGATATTGATCAAGTCCAGAAACTTCTACTTGGCATTGCTACAACCCAAACTTTGCCTACAATTCTAGAAACTTCCTGATTTTGGTTGTTTAGTAGGTAGTGCACAATTGGCTTATGAGAAGGATCTAAATAGTTTGTAATAAGAGGGGAAATTAATTCTGCCCTCCATGGATGGTAGGCAGGGCAACTCAGAAGTACATGTGCTACTGTTTCAGTTTCAAAGTCTGAGAAGATACATAAATGTTCTTGATATGGAATATCATTGAATCTGTCTGACAGTATCACATTCAGACATGCCAATGTGAAGGCCTTCTTATGAGACAGGACTAATAAATGATACAGATATTTGAGAACAGTGAAGGGAGGATGGATTAGCTCATTGTAACAGAGATGAGAAATTCTATTCCTTTGCAAATCAAGAACTAAAATTCTTTGCTTGAGTTCTGTCCAGGCTTCATCTAAGCTTAATGTAGATATAGACTGGGAGATAAACCCACAATGAACTAGATTGTCCATTATTTGTGTCTTCCACAGAGACTAGTATCTATCTGTCAAAAGTAGTTGGGATTGCTATCCCCTCTCCATTTTTTTTTAGATGGTAATTCAACCAGCAGAGTAACAATCGAGCTGCAGCTGAAATGTGGTTGTGCTCAAGCCAGAGAAGCACATATAAGCTACTGAATGGGGAATCTGAAGCATAGACGTAAGAATTTAGACTGAACAGCTTCCAATATGCGAGTATCTTCATAAGCATAACATTGTGCCCTATACTAGCAAGAGACTCTGCATTCTAACTGATTGGATGGTTCAAGAAAAAATTCTAGTAGTAGAAAAAGTCAGATTCAGATCAGTCTATTCCATTGCTGACCAATAGATCATTTTGCACTACCTCTCTGCACAGTATACTAATCTTCCTGGAAGTACCCAGTATACTGTTCTTAGAGGTATGAAAGCAGCATTTGATTCAATCCCACATGACAGACTGTGGCAAAAATTGTCAACTTCCTCTACTGATCACTACTTCCTGCAGTTAATTATGATGTTGCCTAAAAGTACTACAATGCAGGTGCAATGCTCATACAATGGAGAATTGACTGAGCCTATTCCAACTTTTAAGGGATAAAAACAGGGGTATATCCTGCCCCCACCTTATTATTTAATTTTTATATCAACAATATTATTCAGGTTCTTAATGAAGCTGAATTCCTGGATAGTAAACCAACTTCCAGTCTGCTATATGCTGACAATGCTGTAATCCTGTCTGTATCCCAAGCAGGGTTGTGATGCTATCTTCAGACTTGAGTTTCCTACCAACAATTTGAAATGCTAGCAATTAATCATGAGAAACCAAAGTGATTTATTCACCAAGCACCATACTAATCACCCCCATCTTTGGGAGATCAACAACTATCAAACTAAGCAGGTGAAGGCTTTCAAAGATCATAGCATGTATTTCTAGTCAGCTTTCTCCTGGAAGCTTCACTTTTCAAACTTTTTTTTTTTTTTTGCATGCCCAACACAAGCCTCAAACCGTAACACAATACTAAGATATTAAATCATAGTATAAAAATTGTTATAAAAGTTTGTTTCTATATTCATATTGAACAGTGATGTAAACACTTGAATATTCTGTGCCATAATAATTGTTGCTGGTATTTTGTTATCTCCAGTAGTAATGTATGGCTGTGAGAGCTGGACCATAAAGAAGGCTGAGCGCCAAAGAACT